TATGCTTATTTGGTTCTATATGCATTTATCTATCAATCTTTCTATCTATCTACATAATTATCTATAGGGATAAGTATTTATCTATCTATCTATATTTCCATCTAATTTTCAGTCTCTTTGCAGGTAAGTAAGTGTTTGAAAGTACAAACAAACGGGGACTCACACGCGCACATATAATATAGACTTAACTAAAACACACATTCCCTAACACAAACACACACGCAGACGCACGTGCACTTTCACACACACACCTACCCCCTCAGTCTCTCCCACACACATGAACAAACACAAGCCTTCCTCTAATGTGTCGATGCGAAATGATTAACAGAACAAACACAGCATTGTTTGCCAAGGGACCGGGCGCTCTCCTCAACTTCCTCCTGTGAGAGTGAGTGCGGAGCGGCTCGGAGGCGAAAGGGGAGAGAAAGGGAAAGCGAAGAAATGGGAGAGAAAAGGAGAAGGGGAAGGTGACATAGGGAAAGAAAGGGAAATGAAAGATAAATGGGGAAGGGAGAAGTGGAAAGGAGAATGAAAGCCAAACTGAGAAAGAGAATGAGGGATGAAGGTAGGAAATGAGAGAAGAAGAGGGAGAGAGAGAGTGAGGGATAGAGTAAATGAATGAGTGACAGATAAGTAGATTGAGATAGATAGATAGAGAGGGAAAGGAGGGAGGGATATACCCACTCTCCACACACACACACACACACACACACACACACACACACACACACACACACACACACACACACACACATGCACACACACACACAAACAGATAGAGACAGTCAAATCATATCAAATACATAGAAAGAAGAAATTAATAAGCCGAACACAGAGAGAACAAGATGAAGGGAATGAAAAAAGGAAATTAGTCGGAAGAAAGAGTGCTAATGTTATCGCAAGGGGAGGAAGGTGGAGAGAAATTGCTTGTTGCAGAAACAGCCCCGAGGAAGATTGGGCAATAGTTATGGACAGTTGCAATGGGGTTTGCAGCACCGGTCGTGGCGGCTTGTTCTTCACTTATCTCTAATGGTGTCAAGGCTGCGGGTGAAATATAGTTGGGCTCTGTAAAGGAAAGGTTTCCTTTCAAAGATCTATAAATATCATACAACACTTTCACTATATATCAGTCAGCTGAGTCATTCTATGAGTTCTCAATCTGTTTGTTAAGGCAGTGAATTTATTTCTAATGTATCTTTACTGCCTTCGTGTTTTTTTTTCTTTATCTCTTCCTTTCTTCTATTATCAACCAATTTGAAAATTATTGTTTGTCTGTTTATTGTTTTCATTGATGATTTGCTTCCCCCAGTTTTCATTATTTCTTAATCTCATACGTTTCTCACTTTTTCCTATACTTTTCTTTCTCTTCACTTCCTTTCTCTTACAATTTTTTCTTCTATCAATCCTCAACTAATCCCCTTCCTTGCCTTCTTTTTTTGTTTTTTTTTATCATTAACCTATTCATTTAATTCATTTCTTAGTAGCTTTACCTCTTTCATTTTACTTTATGCATCTCAAGGCACAAAAAGTGAAGGTGACAGCAGCGGCGTCGAGTGCAAGATCGAGTGTGTAAAGCACCATGATTGCGCGTGATGTGATCTGCATACTGCAACCTGCAACCAATGGCGAGGATTGCAGCGTGGTTTCGGGGAGGCAATGTAAGGGGAATAGTGAGTGGTGAGAAATGATAGTGAAGGTTAGTAAGGTGGTTGTAGTCAAGACGGATGATAATGAAGATTGTGGTGACTGAGATGAGGACGATGTTTGAGGTGTGATGATGAAAGAGGTGAGATATGATAGTAAAGGGCATGAAGTTTGGAAGAGCAGTAGCGAAAGTAATGAGATATGCGGGCGGAGATTGCTTTGGTGACTGCGGTGAAGGGAATAGTGATTGTAAGTGAGGAGAAATTATGATAAAAGATTTTGTGCAGCGTATGATGGTGAGATACAAACACAAACATAGTAACGTGTGTCGTTTATTGAATAATATAATTCATAGAATCATTAAGGGTCAATATGGAGCGAAATAACAGTGAAATTTATTTTGATCTTAAGAGAAAGATCGACCAAGACCATTGCCGTAGCAGCGGTGAATGATAAATTACAGTGAAAAATATTGTGAATGCAACCAAGCTCATTATTAGAAGGAAGGCCAAGGTAACGGAAAAGAAGTTAAAGGTAATTGTTATAGCCAAAGTCAACGAGAGATAACAGTAAAAGTCTAGTGTGACCGTGGTAAGTGGGAACAGGGGCAAGTGATGAAAAGGTTAGGCTCCAGAATACTGAAAATGCAAATGAATCAGAAAAAATATTGGAGGATATTATGGTGAAATGTGGTGGAGGCGATACTTGTTTTCAAATCGGTGAAACATTTTATGTTGACGATTCGCTTCGCTTATTTTGATCATGTTAAATGGAATATTCCTGATAGATGATTAAATACGTATATGCATACATACGTATATGCATGCATACGTATATGCTTACATACGCACGTATA